CTTCCCTTGTATTAAGGTGTTAGTATATCACAGATATATTAATGCCTAATATGAGCCTTGGTGAGCAGAGTAAAATTAAGATATTTCTTTACTTTTTTTCCATACACAACATTATCATTTTGCCCACTGTGCTCATTAAATAAGAAGCCTGGTTAAGAAATAAAGAAGACAACTCTGATAAGATTTCAAATCATATCCTCGATATTTGAAAGATGATATAGACAAGGCATTAAAGATTTATGCAAAAACCAATCAGCATCTACATTTAAAATTCAGTCACATAACTACATCTTAATTAATTATTATTGAATAGCTACATCTTAATTAATTATTATTGAATAGCTACATCTTAATTAATTATTGTTGAATAGCTACATCTTTATTATTATTGAATAGCTACATCTTAATTAATTATTGTTGAATAGCTACATCTTAATTAATTATTGTTGAATAGCTACATCTTAATTATTATTGAATAGCTACATCTTAATTAATTATTGTTGAATAGCTACATCTTTAATTAATTATTGTTGAATAGCTGAATATCTAATTAACTATTATTGAATAGCTACATCTTAATTAATTATTGTTGAATAGCTACATCTTTATTATTATTGAATAGCTAAATCTTAATTAATTATTGTTGAATAGCTACATCTTAATTATTAATGAATAACTACATCTTAATTAATTATTATTGAATAGCTACATCTTAATTAATCATTGTTGAATAGCTACATCTTAATTATTATTAAATAGCTACATCTTAATTAATTATTATTGAATAGCTAAATCTTAATTAATTATTGTTGAATAGCTACATCTTAATTATTGTTGAATAGCTACATCTTAATTATTCTTGAATAGTTACATCTTAATTAATTATTGCTGAGTGCAAAATGACCTTGGCATTGCAATAAAAATAAAAACAACAAAAATAATATGAAAGTAAAAACAACAAAAATATTATTAATTATTATTAATATACAGTCCATCCGAAGTTATTATGCAATTCACGTAAACCTCAATAACTTGAATTTACTTTAAAAAATTTTATGAAATTACAACTGATAATTTAGAAATCAAAACAAATCTTTAGTTAATATTTTTAGCTAGTATCAACATGTGATATTATGTGTTACAAAATCCTATCTATGATAATATGAGTTACAAATCCTACCTGTGACACCATGTTACAAATCTTGTGAATGGTGCCAAACCTGTTCAAAAATATCTAAACTTTCAGCTGTCTACAACTACTTCCTATTATCAATGGTTAAAAAAGAGGGTCTTGGCAAAGAGTGTCATTCTTTGAACATTGTGGACTGGTACTACAGAATCTTGAACAAAGAACTGTACCAAATAACAGAAACCATACCACTTAAGAACTACCAACAGCAGAAACAACTAAAATGGATAACACATGTAACTTGAATAGCATATAATGACATAATCAAGATGTTAACATTCCACACTACTTCAAATAAAAGGTTAGGAAGAAAACCCCCATCAATAGTGGAAAGATGAATAAAGCTACTGGACTTGATAAACTTGTTTTCCTAAAAAGTGTTTTAAGAGAAACATTTTATAAATCTAAACCAAAAACAGTACTGACTGCTCAGTCAATGAATACGAAATGTTTCCTTGTAGGGAAACGGCTAATATTAGCATTACCTGTGATACCATGTTACAAATCCTACCCGTGATATCACAGGTTATATAAACATCTAGATGTAAGAACAGACAATGGATGTTGCCTTATTTTTGTGTAACAATGAGAGCAGGCAAATAGGTTTGGATGAAGATTAATCTTCTTTGTTGGCAAAGATTACTTATCGTTTTCTTTTCTTCCTGCTTTCGTTGTCATTCTTTGTCTACCATTTGGCCTACAACAATTATCTGGTAACTATTCTTATTTGTAGTCATGAAAAAACACTTTGCATTTGATCATTGCTAATAATCGTCTGGCATTTTTTTATTCTTTTTGCTTCATTGGTAACTGCTAATGCAACCGGAGATATTATTTAACATCAGGCTGATTAGCATCCGTTGTGTTCAATTGTCTATCAAGCAAAACCTGTTTTGTGGCAAAGTTACGCAAAAAGTGTGCAAAGAAATCTAAAAAGAAACGAGTAAATTACTATTCATTTCAGCAGGCAGTATAACGTAAAACTACAAGTTTCTTTGACATTGCCACTTCATTGTTTCATATAGTTAAAAGGGTTAGAGTTATCTGTCTATATACTCAGTGTGTCTGCGGATGCTATCGTTCTTAAGCAACCAACGATTGGAACGTAAAGATTTGAGTGCATTGAATAGAGAGCATTTGAAGTCAAACTGTATTCCAATGTAAAAAAAAACTACATATTTGTTGTATAAATGCGAGTCAGTATTTATTTCTTTTATAGTGACAGTATTACAGGATTGTAGCTTGTTTTATATAGAAAAAGTCTCCGAGAATATTTTCATCCTGGAACAATTATTACACACTTGATATGAGTCCAAGTAAAAAATGAGTAACACAAAATAATCTAAAACAAATGACAACTAATTGCATTTATTGAAAAAGGCATTTACAATTACAATAAAAGAAGAAAATGTTTAAAAACTAGTTGCATAGAAAAATATTTAAACTAGCCAACGTATGTTTTTGTATGTGTGAAATTTTTGTAGTTGATAGACACCTGTGTGAAAGAGTTCAAAAGTCAAAAGAAAGAAAAGCACACATGAGCCTAGTGGCCACATTACAACTATACTACAAAAACTATCTCACTTGTTGGTTATTGTGGTAGGTGGAGGCTTTCTTACTTTGCTTAATTCAGCAGCAGCAGCAGCAGCGGAAGTAATCAGCAAAGTACAACTAGATGTCCCTGAGGTTATAAAAGCTTTGACCGAGCCCTATTCAGCCTCTTTTTCATCTTCCATTTCAGTAACCTCTGGCTTATGGCAAGCTCTCTTTTCCATCTCTCATTTTCAATGGTCTCTTCCTTTCAAGACTCCTACCGAAGGGCTACACACAACCCTTGCTGCAGAAGATTAGGTCTGTCTTGGCAGCTTGATGTTAGATTTCTCATTCCCCTCCCCTCGTAGTGACCGGCAGAAAAACTTCACTTTGAAATAGCCACCAAAAAAAAAAGAACAACACACAAACCTTGCTTCAAAAGACAAGGCATGTCCTAGCAAACTCCCACTTGGATTTCTTCTTCCTTACATGGGAACTAGTGGGGGAATCTCTTTCAAGAAAGAAAAAATTACTACACTCAAGAATATTGCTAACTGGGAAAATGACTTTTTTCTCTGTAAATTACTACACTATTTTGCACTACTTTTTCAATCAAATAAAAGCTGTTGAAAAGTTATTTTCAAGATTTGGGTTTTTTGTTCATTCCACTCACACTGCCGAACACAAACACACACATGACCAGGGAAAATACTAACAGTACATAGATTACATTTTAATGCCAGAGATGAAAATCTGTAAAAAAGAGAATAGGGAGATAAATGCACACCTTTATATAAGTTTAAGCAGCTCCCCCTAGCAATGGTTTTTTGGAAAAGTGGGATAACCCACAACAGCATCAAAAATATAGAATAACAAAAATAGGTTTAGTTTAGTAAAAAAAATACTGCAAGTGTAAAGAAGCCAGTAAGGATTTGACATAGGTTTAGTTTGCCATGTAAGAATCCAAAAGTAGTCCTAAATTTGGTTTGCATGAGATTAAAAACAGTAGATATAGGTCCAGTTTGTATGAGAGCTGAAAAAGTAGACATAGCATTGGTTTGCATAAGGGTAAAAAGCTAAACATGCGTATGACTTGCAGGAAAATCAAAAAAGTCAACATAGGTCTGGCTTGTATGAGAGTCAAAACATCAGACATAGGTTTGGTTTATACAAGAGTAAAAAAGGTAGACATAGGTTTGATATACAAGCAAATCAAGATCATTTTCATAAGAGCCAAATAGATAGGTATAGGTCTGGTTCACCAAAGAGCCCAAAAGGAAGGCATTAGTTTCATTTGTGATAGAGTAAAACAGATCATCATAGGTTTGGCTCACTTTGTAAGAATGAAAAAGGTAGACATATGTTTGGTTTGCTTATTTTGATAAATAATATAGAGGTAGGCATAAGTCTGGTTGGTACGAGTGTAAAAAAGTAGACATAGTTTTGGTTTGCATGGGAGACAAAAAGAGGGTATAGGTTTGGTTTATATGAGAATGAAAGAGGTAAGCATAGGTTTAGTTTGCACAAGAGGCGAAAAGATATACAGAACAACCTTGGTTCTCGAACATCTTACATGTTGAACAAATCGGTTTTCGAACAGATGAAAATGCCTGAGTTATCTAACAAAATTTTGTTCTCGAGCTGAACTGAGTTAACCCAAAGGGAATAATTTCTGAGTCGACCACCATGTTGTATACATTTGTGCGTTGTGGTGTGCTTTTCTTTTCCAATGTTATTGTACTGTGCCTTTTTTTCTCCTCATTAGACCTCAGTCATGACTCCAAAGAAATCTAGCAGGGATACTAGTAAAGAAAAAAGAAAAGTTGAGAGAAAAACAACTATTGATGATATTGTCTCTATAGGTAAAACTATAGGCTTGGATGTCGACAGTGAAGATATTGAAGAACTGGTGGAAGACCATCGTACTGTGCTTACCATTAAAGAGCTCATACATCTCCAAAATGAACAGCAAAAGACTTTGGCTGAGGATGAGGAAGGAAAAGGGGGGGAATGTCCCAAGGTCTTTAATCAAAGAAATTTGTGCTAAATGGGGTGATGTGCAAAGTTTTGTGGAAAAATCTCACACTGACACAGTAGTAGTAGCAGTAGAGCAGTGAACCTTTTCAATGACAATGTCATGTCTCATTTTAGAAAGATTTTCAATGCAGGCAAAAGCAATTAACATTGGACAGGTTTTTACTGAGAGAAAAAAAGAATAGAAACCCCAGAGAAAGATTTACTTGAGCCAAAAAGACAGTAAAGGGAAGAAGTTTATTTTATGGAAGGAGACTCTCTCCTTTTAAAGAATAACTCCTCCTCTTCCCTCCCTCACCTCCATCCACTTATGCCATCACATCGCAACCAAAAAGGTATGTACATAATACAGTGTTGTTATGTTAAATTTACTTCTATTGTATTTTTCTTTTCATTTACACTTCTGTGTGTTATTAACTTTTTGAATAAATGTTTTTACACTAAAATATACAGTGTAAGCATGTAAATGCACATTCAACTGGTACTTGGAAACAAATTAATCGCTTTTACATTAATTTTAATGGGGAAAAAATGATTCAGTTCTTGAACAATTCGGTTTTAGAATAGACTTTCAGAACAAATTATGGTCAAGAACCGAGGTTACTCTAGGTCCGGTTTGTATGAGAATCAAAAAAGAATTTGGTTTGTTACAAAAAAAAGGTTGGCATAGGTCTGGTTTTGTAAGACAAGTTTGGTTTGTAAAAGGTTGGCAGGTCTGGTTTGTATGAGAATCAAAAAGGTTTGGTTTGTACAAGAGGTCTGGTTTTTGTATGAGAATCAAAAGGGAAGAAAGGGTTTGTAAAGAGAAAAAAAGTTTGGTTTTTTGTAGAATCAAAAGGAAGAAAGTTTGGTTTGTAGTCAAAAAAGGTTGGCATAGGTCTGGTTTGTATGAGAATCAAAAAAAAAAGAAAAGTTTGGTTTGTACAAGAGGTTGGCATGGTTGGCATGAGAATCAAAAAGTTTGGTTTGTGAGTCAAAAGGTTGGCAAAAATCAAAAAAGAACAAGTTTGGTTTGTACAAGAGTCAAAAAAGGTTGGCATAGGTCTGTTTTGTATGAGAATCAAAAGGGTTTGTAAAGAAAGTTTGGTTTTTGTACAAAGGGAAGAAAGTTTGGTTTGTAGTCAAAAAGGTTGGCATAGGTCTGGTTTGTATGAGAATCAAAAAAAAAAAGAAAGTTTGGTTGGTTTGTATGGACAAAAGGGAAGAGTTTGGTTTGTAAAAAGGTTGGCATAGGTCTGGTTGTATTGAATCAAAAAGGAAGAAAGTTTGGTTTGTACAAAGAAAAAGGTTGGCATAGGTCTGTTTTGTATGAAATCAAAAGGGAAAGAAAGTTTGGTTTGTACAAAAGTCAAAAAGGTTGGCATAGGTCTGGTTTGTATGAAAAAGAAAGTTTGGTTTGTACAAGAGTCAAAAAAAGGTTGGCATAGGTCTGGTTTGTATGAGAATCAGGAAAAGTTTGGTTTGTACAAAAAAAAAGGTTGGCATAGGTCTGGTTTGTATGAGAATCAAAAAAGTTTGGTTTGTACAAGAGTCAAAAAGGTTGGCATAGGGTCTGGTTTGTATGAGAATCAAAAGAAGAAAGTTTGGTTTGTACAAGAGTCAAAAAGGTTGGCATAGGTCTGGTTTGGTTTGTACAAAGAGTCAAAGGTTGGCATAGGTCTGTTTTGTATGAGAATCAAAAGGGAAGAAAGTTTGGTTTGTACAAGAGTCAAAAAGGTTGGCATAGGTCTGGTTTGTATGAGAATCAAAAGGGAAGAAAGTTTGGTTTGTACAAGAGTCAAAAAGGTTGGCATAGGTCTGGTTTGTATGAGAATCAAAAGGGAAGAAAGTTTGGTTTGTACAAGAGTCAAAAATAAAGGTTTGGTTTGGTTTGGCAAGAGTCAAAAAGGTAGGGTCTGGTCATGGTTGGTTTGTATGAGAAAGAGTCAAAAATAGGTCTGGTTTGTATGAGAATCAAAAGGGAAGAAAGTTTGGTTTAGCAAGAGTCAAAAAAGGTTGGCATAGGTCTGGTTTGTATGGAGAATCAAAAGGAAGAAAGTTTGGTTTGTACAAGAGTCAAAAAAAAGGTTGGCAGAAGAATCAAAAAGGGAAGAAAGTTTGGTTTGTACAAGAGTCAAAAAGGTTGGTCTGGTTTGTATGTTTTGGCATAGGTCTGTATGAGAATCAAAAAGGGAAGAAAGTTTGGAAGAGTCAAAAAAAGGTTGGTTTGGTTTGTATGAGAATCAAGAGTTTGGTTTGTACAAAAAAAGCTGTTGGCATAGGTCTGGTTTGTATGAGAATCAAAAGGGAAGAAAGAAAGTTTGGTCTGGTTTGTACAAAAGGGAAGTCAAAAAGAGGTTGGCATATAGGTCTGGTTTTTGTATGAGAATCAAAAAGGTTGGCATAGGTCTGGTTTAGGGAATCAAAAAAAAAGTTTGGCAAGAGTCAAAAAAGGTTATAGGTCTGGTTTGTAGAAAGTTTGGTTTGTACAAGAGTCAAAAAAGGTTGGCATAGGTCTGGTTTGTATGAGAAAGGTTTCTGGTTTGTAGGGAAGAAAAAAAAGTTGGTTTTGTTTGTACAAAAAAGAGAGTCAAAAAAGTTTAGGTCTGGTTTTGTAAAAGGGGAAGAAAGTTTGGTTGTTACAAGGTTTATTCTGGTTTGTATGAGAATCAAAAAGGGAAGAAAAGTTTGGTTTGTACAAGAGTCAAAAAAAGGTTGGCATAGGTCTGGTTTGTATATGAGAATCAAAAGGGAAGAAAGTTTGGTTTGTACAAAAAAAAAGGTTGGCATAGGTCTGGTTTGTATGAAATCAAAAAGGAAGAAAGTTTGGTTTGTACAAAGTCAAAAAGGTTGGCATAGGTCTGGTTTGTAAGTTTGGTTTTGGTTTGTACAAGAGTCAAAAAGGTTGGCATAGGTCTGTTTTGTATGAGAATCAAAAGGGAAGAAAGTTTGGTTTGTACAATAGTCAAAAAGGTTGGCATAGGTCTGGTTTGTATGAGAATCAAAAGGGAAGAAAGTTTGGTTTTTGTACAAAGTTTGGTGGTTTGTATGAAATCAAAAGGGAAGGACAAAAAAAAAGGGTCTGTTTTGTTCAAAAAAGGCATAGGTCTGGTTTGTATGAGAATCAAAAAAAAGAAAGAACAAGAAAAAAGGTTTGGTTTGTTTACAAAAGAGTTTGGTTTGTACAAGAGTCAAAAAGGTTGGCATAGGTCTGGTTTGTATGAGAATCAAAAAGAAAGACAAGTTTGGTTTGTACAAGAGTCAAAAAGGTTGGCATAGGTCTGTTTTGTATGAGAATCAAAAGGGAAGAAAGTTTGGTTTGTACAAGAGTCAAAAAGGTTGGCATAGGTCTGGTTTGTATGAGAATCAAAAAGAAAGACAAGTTTGGTTTGTACAAGAGTCAAAAAATAGGTTGATAGGTCTGGTTTGTAAAAATCAAAAGAAAAAGTTTGAAGTTTGGTTTGTACAAGAGTCAAAAAAAAGGTTGGCATAGGTCTGGTTTGTATGAGAATCAAAAAAGAAAGTTTGGTTTGTACAAGAGTCAAAAAAAAGGTTGGCATAGGTCTGGTTTGTAAATAATCAAAAGAAAAGACAAGTTTACAAAGTCAAAAAAGGTTGGCTTCTGTTTTGTATGAGAATCAAAGGAAGAAAATTTGGTTTGTAAAAAGAGTTGGCAAAAGAATCAAAAGGGAAGAAAGTTTGGTTTGACAAGAGTCAAAAAAAAAGGTTGGCATAGGTCTGGTTTATGAGAATCAAAAGGGAAGAAAAGTTTGGTTTGTACAAAAAAAGGTTGGCATAGGTCTGTTTTGTATGAGAATCAAAAAAAGGAAAAAGTTTGGTTTGTTAAAAAAGGTTGGCATAGGTCTGGTTTGTAAAAATCAAAAGGAAGAAAAGTTTGGTTTTTACAAACAAAAAGGTTGGTATAATTTGTATGAGACAATCAAAAAAGTTTGGTTTTGTTAAAACAAAAAAGTTGGCATAGGTCTGGTTTTGTAGGAATCAAAAAGAAAAGACAAGTTTGGTTTGGTCAAAAGGTTGTAGGTCTGGTTTGTATGAAAATCAAAAAGGAAAGAAAGTTTGGTTTTATACAAGAGTCAAAAAAAGGTTGGCATACTGGTTTACATGGAATCAAAAAAAAAAATGCAGTTTGAATATTCTTGACCCCAAGTGACAAGGTTACTGGTATTCGGAAAATCAAATAAAATTTAGACAAAAAAAAAATACTACACATAAAAATGAATAACATATATTCAAAAAGCTCACATCCTGTTTACCTTAATTTTCTTGTTTATTTTCAATATGAGAATTTTAAAAAGGTAAACTAATAGTAAAACGTCCCACCACTCATAATAAATAAATTACTGGGTCTGGTTTGTCAGAAGAAACAAAACTGAATTTAGGAAGTCTAATCCTGTTTTCATCATTTCTTTTTTGGCTAAAATTTACTGAGCCCCTCCTGACTATTTTTAGTGTATGAACTTGTACTCAGTTCACCTGCAAGCAACTTCTTACTTGATAGGGATGGGGGTGAGTACAAAAAGAAATCTGGCATAAAATGATCCTGACTGCATGGCTGAGATCTTGTGTCATTGTTGACATTTACAATGTTAATTTGCCATGTCAGCCTGTTTAACTATAACTTCATTAAGTGGGTCTTAAGCACTGTGTGAAGGAGCTATGTACCTCCAACAACGAAGTGAAAGGCAGATCTAAAAAAGAAAAAAAATTCTATAGTTACCCTGACTCTTCTTTCCTACCCAACAGACAGAGAATATATATATATATATATATATATATATATATATATATATATATATATATATATATTTGTATAAGAGTGAAAAAAGTAGATATAAGTTTAGTTTGAACAAGAGTTGAAAAGACATATAGGTCTGGTTTTTAATGAGAGTCAAAAAAGTAGATATAAGCTGCACAAGAATCAAGACAGTGAACAAATGTGTGTGTGTGTGTGTGTGTGTGTGTGTGTGTGTGTGTGTGTGTGTGTGTGTGTGTTATCATACACATGAAACCAAATATCATTGGGCAATGAGGAACAACTTATATATATATATATATATATATATATATATATATATATATATATATATATTTATGTATATATATATAACATAAAATAAAAAAATTCAGTCAATTATGAAACCTCCTGACAAGTGGACTGAACAATTACAAAAAGGTTTTGTCTATAAAACAACAAAGTTGCTCTGCTGAGTATAGCATCAATCATGTGAGCAACAAGATTTATATTTGTATTAATCATATATATATATATTAGATTAATGCAAATACAAAATTTACATATATATATATATAAATATATATATATATATGCATTGCACTTTATGTGTGTGTATATATATGTGTATGTGTGTATGTGTATAGGATTAATACAAATATGAAATTTATACATATATATATATTTATATATCGCACATATGTGTGTGTATGTGTGTGTGTGTGTGTGTGTGTGTGTAGGGTGCGATGTATGAATTGTCGTCTATATTACACAAAAAATGAAAATAATACTGACATCTCATTTTAACAGGAATGTTTATCAAAATTATACAAAAATATCTTGAAATACTAAAGAGTATTCTATAAATACTAAATACTAAAGAGTATTCTATAAAATCTAAAATACTAAATACTAAACAGTATTCTATAAAATCGCCATAGGCTTCAACCACAGCCTCCAGATAACTTTGGAATCTCCTGCAACTCTTCTGGATGGTCTCCTTGTTTAAGTTGATGAATGTTGTTATAATCCTTGCCTTCAACTACCTTCTTCACCCAGGCTAGTACTACCTCCTCAATGTACTTGATATAGGCCTCCACATTAAGTCTCACCAACAGATTCAGGTGTTCTTTTCTTATCAGTAATGACCAGAGTGAGTTTTCAGAGCTGCCTTACCTTTGTAATCACCATTAAACTCATCGAATGCTTTCTGAATCCTCAGATTGACACCCAAACACTCTGAAATGTTTGTATTGGAGCAAAGCAGCATAGCATGTCATTTCCAAATTTATGGTGAAGGGAATTGCATCATGGTGCTCTTTTTCTTATAGATAGTGCCCAACTGACCCTATGCAGTTGACAAAATCAAAACAAACAACATCCATGCACAAAATTAAAAATATAAAGTGGCGACAATTTAGCCATCGCACCCTGGAAATATGTTTTACAACCTGATAGGTATTTTCACTTTATAGATATATAGATATAGATATATACTTGTGTATAACACTACCTCATGTATAGCGCAACCCTTAACTATGTATTTGGACAGCAACCCCATTTTATGCAAGTTTTGTTGTAAATGACTGACAAGGTGCTGTGGTTAATTTTGTCATGTAATTTTTCATGTGTTCATATAAGTTTTTTTTTCTTTTCAGGATATAAATTATATAAAAATTGTTCGAACATTTTATATATCCAAGTGCTAAAAGTATTGCCAAATATACTTGGATGTATAAAACATTTGGACAATTTTTATATAATTTGTCCTGAAAAGAAAAAAATTATATGAATACATGAGAAATTATATAAAAAACTTAACCACAGCACCTTGTCAGTCATTTTCAACAAAACTATATATATATTCTGTTTATACATTATTTTTATACATATAAATATTTAGGTAAATACTCTGTTTATAATAAACAGTATTAACAACATTTACAAGCCTGAATGTCCGAGAAATCTCATAGAAACAGTAATTTAACCTTGCTAACAAGATGATTACTCTGTAACTAAATGGTATAGCACATCAGGCTATATGACGGTTCTGTGTAGTATACAGGTTCGATTCCTGTCAGAGGACACATATTTTCTATGAAATTTCTCAGACATTCAGGCTGGTAGTACTGTTTATTATTAACAGAGCATTTACTTAAATATTTGTATCTATAAAAATAACGTATAAACAGAAAATATATTAAAATATTTGTCGGACTTAGTCCATTTCATAATGTATATATATATATATATATATATATATCATGGACACTCTTGTTGTTGATCAACATCAACTGTTGACCCATGCCTACCAGGGAACCTTTTACAATGTATAAGGGTCAGGCAACTCAGTTCCTAGGAACCGACAGCCAGACAAGATGCACATATGATTTGATTATAGTGGTAAATGTTTTGTGCAGAACCAACCACACTTTTTGAAGAGCCCACAGGGTCCCCAAACAACCTTCAGCTGGTTTTGAATTCAGAGTTATTGTTCTTCTTGTAATACATGGCTACAGAACCCAGTCTGCCCTGCTATTTACCCAGAGAAGGTAGGGTGGAGTAATAGACAACAGTTTAGATTGAGGAATTGGAGGGACAAACTCCTTCTTCTTCTTCATTGTGCCATGTCCCTTCAGGATGTGGGCAATCATGGCTCTCCAAAATTTCCTATCCTTTGCAACTCTTAGTAAATTTTATCTTTTTCTATCTCTCCTAATCCCTGTTCTGTCAACCATTTAAGTCATTCTCTATTCTCTTTATTCTCTTTTTCACTCATTCTCCAATCTTTTTCATCTTTCTTTATTCTCTTCCTCTTTCTTTTCATCTTTCTTTATTCTCCTTTTATTTCGTTTTCATCCTTCTTTATTTTCCTTCTATTTCTTTTTCATCATTCTTTATTCTCTTTGTCTTTTCATCTTTCTTTATTCTCCTTCTATTTTTTGTCTTTCTTTATTCTATTTCTTTTTCATCTTTCTTTATTCTCTTTGTATTTTGTTTCATCCTTCTTTATTCTCTTTCTATTTCTTTTTCATCTTTCTTTATTCTCTTTCTATTCCTTAATTAACTTTCTTTATTCTATTTCTTTTTTCATCTTTCTTTATTCTATTTATTTTTCATCTTTCTTTATTCTCTTTCTTTTTCCTTTTCATCCTTCTTTTTTCTCTTTCTCTTTCTTTTTCATCTTTCTTTATTCTCTTTCTATTACTTTTTCATCTTTCTTTATTCTCTTTCTATTTCTTTTTCATCCTTCTTTATTCTCCTTCTATTTCTTTTTCATCTTTCTTTATTCTCTTTCTATTTCTTTTTCATCATCCTTTATTCTCTTTCTATTTCTTTTTCATCTTTCTTTATTCTCTTTCTATTTCTGTTTCATCTTTCTTTTTTGTATTTCATTTCATCTCTAATTATTCTTTTTCTATTTCTTTTTCATCCTTCTTTACTCTCTTTCTATTTCTTTTTCATCTTTCTTTATTCTCTTTTTATTTCTTTTCAACTTTCTTTATTCTATTTCTTTTTCATCTTTCTTTATTCTATTTCTCTTTCATCTTTCTTTATTCTCTTTCTATTGCATTTTCATTCTTCTTTATTCTCTTTCTACTTCTTTTTGATCTCTATTTATTATCTTTCTATTTCTTTTTCATCTTTCTTTATTCTCTTTTTATTTATATTTCATCCTCCTTTATTCTCTTTCTATTTCTTTTTCATCTTTCTTTATTCTCTATTTCTTTTTCTTTATTCTTTATTCTCTTTCTACTTCTTTTCATCTTTTTTTATTCTCTTTCTATTTCTTTTTATCATCCTTTATTATCTTTCTATTTCTTTTTCTTCTTTCTTTATTCTCTTTCTTTTTCTTTTTCATCATCATTTATTCTCTTTCTATTTCTTTTCATCTTTCTTTATTATCTTTCTATTTTTTTCATCTCGCTTTATGCTCTTTCGATTTCTTTTTCAACTTTCTTTATTCTATTTATTTTTCATTTTCTTTATTCTACTTCTTTTTCATCTTTCTTTATTCTCTTTCTATTTCTGTTTCATCTTTCTTTTTTGTATTTCATTTTATCTCTAATTATTCTTTTTCTATTTCTTTTTCATCCTTCTTTACTCTCTTTCTATTTCTTTTTCATCTTTCTTTATTCTCTTTCTATTTCTTTTCAACTTTCTTTATTCTATTTCTTTTTCATCTTTCTTTATTCTATTTCTATTTCATCTTTCTTTATTCTCTTTCTATTTCTTTTTCATCTCTCATTATTCTCTTTCTATTTCTTTTTCATCCTTCTTTATTCTCTTTCTATTTCTTTTTCATAATACTTTATTCTCTTTCTATTTCTTTTTCATCTTTCTTTATTCCATTTCTATTTCTTTTTCATTATTCTTTATTCTCTTTCTGTTTCTTTTTCATCTTTCTTTATTCTCATTCTATTTCTTCATCATCTTTTTTATTCTCTTTCTATTTCTTTTTCATCTTTCATTATTCTCTTTCTATTTTTTTCATCCTTCTTTATTCTCTTTCTATTTCTTTTTAATCTTTTTTATTCTCCTATTTCTTTTCGTCTTTCTTTATTCTATTTCTTTTTCATCTATCTTTTTTCTCTTTCCATTTCTTTTTCATCTTTCTTTATTCTCTATTTCTTTTTCATCATCCATTACTCTCTTTCTATTTCTATTTCATCTTTCTTTATTCTCTGTCTATTTTTCAACCTTCTTTATTCTCTTTCTATTTCTTTTTCATCTTTCTTTATTCTCTTTCTATTTCTTTTTCATCCTTCTTTTTTCTCTTTCTATTTCTTTTTCATCTTTCTTTATTCTCTTTCTATTACTTTTTCATCTTTCTTTATTCTCTTTCTATTTCTTTTTCAACTTTCTTTATTCTCTTTCTCTTTTTTTCATCCTTCTTTATTCTCTTTCTATTTCTTTTTCATCATCCTTTATTCTCTTTTATTTCTTTTTCATCTTTTTTATTTTCTTTCTATTTCTTTTTCATCCTTCTTTATTCTCTTTCTATTTCTTTTTCATCATCCTTTATTCTCTTTTATTTCTTTTTCATCTTTTTTATTCTCTTTCTATTTCTTTTTCATCTTTCTTTATTCTCTTTCTATTTCTTTTTCATCCTTCTTTATTCTCTTTCTATTACTTTTTCATCTTTCTTTTTTCTCTTTCTATTTCTTTTTCATCTTTCTTTATTCTCTTTCTATTACTTTTTCATCCTTCTTTATTCTCTTTCTATTTCTTTTTCATCTTTCTTTATTCTCTTTCTATTTCTTTTTCATCCTTCTTTTTTCTCTTTCTATTTCTTTTTCATCTTTCTTTATTCTCTTTCTATTACTTTTTCATCTTTCTTTATTCTCTTTCTATTTCTTTTTCAACTTTCTTTATTCTCTTTCTCTTTTTTTCATCCTTCTTTATTCTCTTTCTATTTCTTTTTCATCTTTTTTTTTTTCTTTCTATTTCTTTTTCATCCTTCTTTATTCTCTTTCTATTTCTTTTTCATCATCCTTTATTCTCTTTTATTTCTTTTTCATCTTTTTTATTCTCTTTCTATTTCTTTTTCATCCTTCTTTATTCTCTTTCTATTTCTTTTTCATCTTTCTTTATTCTCTTTCTATTTCTTTTCATCTCTCTTTATTCTCTTTCTATTTCTTTTTCATCTTTCTTTATTCTCCGTCTATTTCTTTTTCATCCTTCTTTATTCTCTGTCTATTTATTTTTCATCTTTTTTATTCTCTTTCTATTTCTTTTTAATTATCCTTTATTTTCTTTCTATTTCTTTTTCATCTTTCTTTATTCTCTTTCTATTTCTTTTTCATCCTTCTTTATTCTCCTTCTATTTCTTTTTCATCTTTCTTTATTCTCTTTCTATTTCTTTTTCATCATCCTTTATTCTCTTTCTATTACTTTTTCATCTTTCTTTATTCTCTTTCTATTTCTTTTTCAACTTTCTTTATTCTCTTTCTCTTTTTTTCATCCTTCTTTATTCTCTTTCTATTTCTTTTTCATCATCCTTTATTCTCTTTTATTTCTTTTTCATCTTTTTTTTTTCTTTCTATTTCTTTTTCATCCTTCTTTATTCTCTTTCTATTTCTTTTTCATCATCCTTTATTCTCTTTTATTTCTTTTTCATCTTTTTTATTCTCTTTCTATTTCTTTTTCATCCTTCTTTATTCTCTTTCTATTTCTTTTTCATCTTTCTTTATTCTCTTTCTATTTCTTTTCATCTCTCTTTATTCTCTTTCTATTTCTTTTTCATCTTTCTTTATTCTCCGTCTATTTCTTTTTCATCCTTCTTTATTCTCTGTCTATTTATTTTTCATCTTTTTTATTCTCTTTCTATTTCTTTTTAATTATCCTTTATTTTCTTTCTATTTCTTTTTCATCTTTCTTTATTCTCCGTCTATTTCTTTTTCATCTTTCTTTATTTTCTTTCTATTTCCTTTTCATCCTTCTTTTTTCTCTTTCTATTTCTTTTCATCTAACTCTTCTCCATATATTTTCTTTCAACTCACTGTTTACTCCCCATATTTTCCCTCTATTTAGTGACTATTCAATCTAAAGAGATGATGTGATTCCATGAAATCTGTAGTAGGGATATTCAACAGATAAATTCTGACTGAATTCCTGCAATGAGGAGTTATCTTTGCATTTGGATCATTGTCCTCTTTATTGTTGTTATCAGAATGTTTCAACCATTGGACAGTGAAATGAGAACAGTCTACTTCTGTAGATTAAATAAAGGATTCAGTTTGGAATTCCCTGTAGGTTACCTGGATCAATATACACCTGATGAAAGCTGGAGGCACAACACCTGAAATTTGAAAACAACAGCAAAGATAAGGACAGTAGTTTGAATTTAAATAAACAAATTTGTTTTACTTATTATTTATATATACCAGGTGTAACAGCAAAATTGTCCAAATTGTGTAACAGCATGGGATAATTGTCCACCCAACAAAATGTTTCATATCTAAAATCCCACTAAACTAATTGAATTTCTTTTTTCCGGGTTTTCAGATAAGACATTTAGCCATCTTGACACTATTCTATTTCTTTGTCATCTTTCTCTTCTCTCTATATTTTCTTTCAATTCATTCTTTACTCCCCATATCTTTCTTTTTACTTATTTTCTCTTTCTATCCATTCTTCTGTCTTTCTTTCATCTCTTCATCAATTTATTTTCTCTTTCTCCTCTCTATTCATTTCTTCTTTCTCCTCTACACTTATTCTGTCTTTCTTTTCCCTTTCATGTCTCTTTCTTTTCTTGTGTTCTCATTTCTTTCTCTTCGCCCTTTCTTTTTTATTTCTTTTTTTTTCCATCTCTCTTGTTATTTTTTCTATTTTCTATTTCTCTTTACTTTGTCCATTTTTTTTCTGTTCATTTCTTTTTCTTTTCTTTTCTATCCTTTCTCTTTCTTTCTTTCACATACTGGTTGCTTCACAGCTAAATCTTTAATCAAAAGAGAACATTCTTAATCTTGGTATCTCAAGCACAAGTCATTCTATGAAAATGTCACTGAAAAACACAGGCAGTCAAAATTGCCCTGAAAAAATGTATAAATTAAAAAACAGTGAGAAGAGATTTTGTTATTTAGAAAAAGGCTGCCTTTTTTATTCAAATACTTTTTTGTTAATATGTTTTTTCCCTTTTCCTTTCTTTCCATTTTCTTTCTTTTCTTTTTCCTTTCTTATTTTTTTTCCTTTTTACACTTTAGTTTTCTTTATTATCTCCCTTGGTTTTTTTCTTTGTTCCTTTTTTACCTTACTTCTTATATTTTTTCTCTTTTCTTCTTTTTTGTGCTCTTATGTGTCCTTTCTTCTTTATTTCCTTTCTTCTTTCTTTTTCACATTCTCTTTTCTTTTTCACATTCTCTTTCCATTTTTATTTTCTCAAAAATTCTCTCTCACATTTTCTGCTTTTTTTTAACTCTTTCTCTTTTCTCTTCTCTTATTCTCTTTTTTCTTCTTTACTTTTACTCTCCATATCTCCTCTTTTTCTTTATTATTTAATTACTCCTTCTTTCTTTTCCACCCTTTATTCCTTCCTCTTCTCTTTTTAATTAGCCTTCTTACTCTCTCACTATTTCTTTTTCTTTTTCAACTCTTCTGTCTAGTTTCCTTTGCCACCTCTTTTTTCTTTACTTTTCTCCTCTATTTTCTTTATTATCCTCTCTCCCTTTTCTCTTAGTCTTTCTTCCTTTTCTTCCTCACTACAGTCATTCTGACCTTCTTTCTTTCTTTCCTTTTCTCTTTCTCTTCTTCATTCTAACTTTCTTCAATATCATTTTTACATCATTCTCCTTCCAATCCACTCATATTTCCCCACTCATCAGCCAAACCTAACCCTAGCCATGAAGCCTTCTTCATCTTTTTGTAGTCAATCCAAATCCAACCAAAGCCTGTCAGGAAAGCTAAG